TTGCAAATTACGTTTCATTATTCACCCAGATCTAATGGTCAAAAGTTAGCAAGAACTGCTGATACCGCAAGACTCCCATCATTTGGAGCCAAATCCTTGCAAGATTTCATTGCCATCAGCTTGGAACCTGAACGCCACCTTTGATTCTCCCAAACACTAGGCCTACTTGACATCTCTGAGAGCTTTTTCCATATACCGATGTTGAATTACACTGTTGAGCTATGAGAACAGCTGGGTGAAACATGGTCGTTTCAGTTTGTAAGAGCTTGTGTGAACATTTTCTTCAGTTTTGGTTCACCCAGAGTTTGCTTGGCATTCAAGGTTCCTTCAGCCTACAACCAAACCAGCCCGAAGCTCAATCAAAACCCGAGTTTCATCCTCTTCTGAATCAAAATCTTCAGCGGGCCCAACTCTGCTTTAAGCTATGATTCCATCTCTGCAAACTTTTCAGTTAACCTGGTCTATTTTGGGGACTGTAGTGTAACCTAGGAAATCTCCTCAGACGTGCCATTCTAGCCCAGGCCCAGTCCTGTGTGCTGGGAGGAAAGGAGAACAGCTCTTCCCTGAACGCCAGAATGTCTCATTGATAGCTAGCCCCAGGGAGGAGGATGTGCAGAGCAGCATTGAAGTTCTGGGAGAAACGGTGCCTTCAGAGGATATCCCCGGTGTGCCGGCAGGGAGCATGGACATGCTGTTACATCCCTCTGGATATTGCATTGTGCTACCCTCTTGGGATCTGACCAGCTCTCTACGTTGTTCCTTGCCCTCGGTGGGATGGGTTGTGCCACTGGGGGTACAAGGAGGAAGCAGTCCTGGTGCTCCCCCCAGGACACAGATACTGCAAATGTACCTGTTCTTGTCATCAGAAGTATAAGTGGGGAAGAAAGAAAGGCTCCTTATACTTACACACATGAACAGGCTAGGCACACTTTAGCTCTTCAGAAGTGCCTGCTGCCAGCCAGCACTGCTGTCCACCAGAGAGGCAGTCAGCACTCCCCTTTGTTGCTGGTAGGGAGGAGAGAAGAACAGTGGTAACTCAGACATGTAAGTAAAGAGGTTTCCTAAGGGGTAAAATGGTATTCACATGTATGTCCTCAGAGTCCAAACTGGACTAACGTTCCCTCAAGCCCTGCAAGAAGAGGATCTTGCACTTGGATAGCCGCAAGACAGTAAAACTTCACACACCTGACCCAGATATGTCCCAACAGCAGCCAAGTTACTATTGCGAAAAAGTGTGTTGGGAAAAAACCCAAACGCTTTTGCATTTCCACAAAGCTAGTGTGCTCAAAAACCAACATGTTCTGTCTCCCCATAGCTTATGTTTCTGACTGCTACCACTGAATATTTTGTGCTCAGACCGGTGATTTCATTTTTCTTGATCTGAAGTCAAATGTATCATTCCCCAGTAGCTGAGAGATTCCTTTGCTCCTCCTGAAACACTGAATGCAAGGCCCTGAGCCCAAGTGACAGGCCAATAAGCAGCACACTTGGCTGCGGAGCGAGACACTGATGGGTTGTGGTTCAATGCACATTGTTTGAGCGCCTCTGGAAATACTGTCTAGCCAGAGTATTGTAGAACTCAGTGGCGTTGTGCAGCTGCTTCATATAAAACCTACATTTTTCTTCAAGTCCTTTTCCCAGTAGTTTGTGTGACATGTAGAATTATTTGGGTAACTTTGCCTCCTTGAGTGTATTGTTGTGCCTGACTTGTCATTGTCCCAGACCTGAAGCAGAGCTCTGTGGAACTCAAAAGCTTGTCTCTTTCACCAGCAGAAGGCGGGCCAATAAAAGATATGACCTCACCCACCTTATCTCTAACTGCCCTCTTTGTGAGAGCTAAGGGTTTTGCTTGCAGCAAAGAATTCACTGGATATTGATGAATGGAGCGATTTATTGCAAAAGGTACGACAGGAGATTAATTTTGATATACAGCATGTGAGGGGCTAGCAAACAAGGGGAAGCATTCAGCATCACTTGCCATGTTGGCTTAATTAAAGAATCACAGGTGACTAACCTGATGGGAGTCATAACAACAAACTACTTGTACGGGGAGCTTGCTTTCAGGTTAGTAAAGGCGACACTGTCCCGTTAACATCGTTTGATATATTCTCTTTCTTTCTTACTAATGAGTACAAAGAAATAAAAGAAAAAGAAAAGCACGTTTAAAAATGTCCTAATTATATTGTAATGAGGACTGCACCACCATTACACCTAGTGGGCAGGGCACTGGATTGGGACTCAGCAGACCAGTCTCCAAACCCTGCCTCTGCCACTAGCCTTCTGGTGATCCTGGGCAAGTCACTTCGCTACTCTGTGCCTCAGTTTCCCCATGTGTAAAATGGCTGATGATGCTGGGCAAGTCCCTTCTCTACTCTGTGCCTCAGTTTCCTCATGTGTAAAATGGAAATAATGATCCTAACCCTTTCCTGCTTTTGTAAAGTGCTTTGAGATGTAAGCCTGAAAAGGGCTATCTAGAAGCTAGGTATTATCATGACAACAGCTCCAGAACTTGGGCCAGCTCCCCAGTTGGTGTCAGCTAATATAACTCCACTGAAGTCCATGAAGCTGCACCAGTTCACAGCACCTGAGGATCTGGCCCCATAAAGTCTAAACCAAACTTCCTCCAACATCTTGCATGGTCTGCAGATCCTTCTCACTCAGGAAAAGCTCACCAGAGGGCAGCGGTGCATGATTTTGTGTGTTGTACGGAACACATTTCCATGGACACTGTGGATAAGAAATGCGGTTGTTGAACCTCTGTACAATCATACCACGCTTTCAACATTGTGCAAAAGACGAAAGCATCCAGCATGCAGGCACAATAGCCCCTTTTCAAAGTAACTGCCACTCTGAACAATGAGTCATAAACACAATGGGGCCCGATTCCTGAGATCCCTGCTCAGGTTTCATTCAGTCCTCAGGCAAACTGCACGTATGGCAGGACTTGGCCATAAGGTGCATGATAAATGGGGAAAAAATACATCGCTGAACTCACCAACTTCTGCCTCCCATTTCTGGATGAGTCAATATTGTAAAACAACTCAAGAGAATTAATTCTTTAGAAAACATGACATGATAAATCCCAACCCGATGAAAACGGCTGCCATCTGATCATGGCAAAGGCAGCATACCACTCGCCATATGGACACTGGTGAACACTGTTAGATTAAACCACATGACTTTCAAGAAACTAAGAGGAAGAATGAAATTAACTAAAGAACAGGCAAAGACAATAGAGAGCTAAGTAGGAGCCCACGCCAAAGGGAGTTAAACCCAGAGAGATGAAATACAGAAGGTTCTTGTAAGCGCCAAATTGCTAAACCAAGGAAAACTTTCCACTTGTAAAGACCTCTGTCTGGAAATTTGCCAGACCCAGGGAGAATACCACGCTGTGGTCACTGTGTGTATGAAATCTCTTCAGGACTGAGGTTTTGTTCATGGTAAAATTAAAGGGTCTGTTGCCCATAGAAACAATTTTTCTTCTGTGTGACCTGGATCCATCTTTATGAAAGATTACACAATCAGAACAACCCTGGTGTGACACGAGCTGGTTAAAAGTGGAGAGCACTCATTAGCAATCCCAAATCTGATTGTGTGGCTTATATCAAGCAATCCTTGTCATCAGCAGGATTTCCATTTAATAATACTAGTAATTCAAACACCCTGTTGAATAACTTGCAAAGCATCTAGAACTCTCCGTGAGGAGATTCCTCACTCTGCTATTGCCAGAGAAGCCAAAAAGTTTGCTAAAGAAATGCCTTGGTAATTGATTTTCCAGCTGAAGAAGTAGTTAAAGACAGAATTCCTTCAGCAGAATGTACAGCAGAAAACATGCTTCAGTATAGGCTTCTGTTTTGCATTCAGCGAAGAACTGTGGAGATTTGAAAGTATTTCAAGTTGCAGGCATTATTATTATTATTTTTTAAAAAGCACAAGTAAATCTGCTGCCTATTTGGATTAAGGTTTATTTCTTTAACCAGTATTGCACACTGGTGCAGAGACTGAATCCCGGACAACTTGAGCTGAGCTTGCTGCACAACTTGGGGATGGGTGGTGTGGGAGAAGGTAAATTTAAGACACCTTTATGCCCCCACAGTTCTGGGACTGATTGGTGCAGGCTTGGGGATGCTCTAATTTACCCCAGCTTACCCATGGCGCCAACAGGCTATTCCATCTGACCCAGATTGCCAGGGTATCGGAATGTCCCAGCCATAAGAACGGCCATACTGGGTCAGACCAAAGGCCCATCTAGCCCAGAAGCCTATCTTCCAGCAGTGGCCAATGCCAGATGCCCCAGAGGGAATGAAAAGAACAGGGAATCATCAAGTGATCCAATGGTCCCTCTCCCCTGGCCACCAAGCTGGAAGCCAGAAACAGGTGGTGATGTAGGACCAGGGGAAATCCTCAGGGGGCCTGATACAGCACCTCCAGTGCATCTCCAGTGGGGACTGGCCTTGAGTCAATGAAGAACAGAGAGCCTTTTCTTTACCTTTGCTGCCAGAGGAACAACACTAAGGACCTGAATGGCATTATTGTAGCTCTCTTTTCCCTACTGCTTTTTAACTTTCGGGATTTGTAATGTATACGAAAAGGGAGAACAAAATGAAAATCAGTTTCAAACGGGAAGCTAGCCCCAGCCCTAAATATGGAGGGATTCACACCCCCTCATTTATTCCAAGAGGGGGGAATAATTAAGACACACAAATGAACACACCCACTAGTGTTTGTTCATAACACCTCACATTTTAAGTGACGAATTGTCAAGAAATTAATATTTTTAAATCAGAGACTATATCCATTAATCCCCAGGGGGACATCACAGTAATCCCTAGACCTATGTAAAGTAATGCACCACAACATGGTTAGCCCTGGAAAAAGCAAAGTCTCTAGTACTGTGTGACTTCGTTGCTGCTTTTGCAATCATGTGCTTCCTCTTCAAGTATCTCCCCAATCTCCATTTTGTGAACCTCAAGTGAAAAGCTCAGGATCTAATTCCATACCTGATGTGCTTTCTTCAAATAGCCCCGATAACCACACTGGCTCCATTGCCATTCTATGTTGCTTATTCACTCTTGAATAGACTCTACTGTTCTCACAGGGTCTTCAGCACCACTTCTTCAGCTTAGGCCCAAGGGAAGCCAATTTTCGGCAGGCAGCAGTATATGGCCAGGAAGATTACATCCAAAGCCTCTCCACCTACCTGCAGAGCACAGGGAGGAAAAGACATACTACAAGTGATGCACAGCAGGTGGGTCAAGAGTTTCAGGCCTCTTCCCCAAGCCCAACACATGGTCCAGAAAGCTAGATCTTATTTAACAAGGGTTGTGGTGGATTCTCCATCAATGACTGCTCTTGAATCAAGATTGATTTTTTGTTTTTAATTTGTGGGTCGGTGGAGGGGAGAGGGTATGATATGCTCTAGTTTAAAGGGAATTATTTTGGGCCAGTTCTCTGGCCCATGTTACATAGAAAGCCAGACTAGATGACCACAATGGTCCCTTCTGGCCTTGGAGTCTATGAAACAACGGGGTCCCATTTTGCCCTGGTATTTATGTCTGTTGATTGGTTAGTTTTCCATTTGTGCATAAGAGTGCCAATGGCACAAGCAATGCTGAAGTCAATATGTGGGTAGCTAGCTTGTGATAGACAGGAGGTCAGACTACCAGTAGTCCCTTCTGGCCCTAAATTCAAGTTTTGGGAGGGCAAAAACTTAAGCAGAAACTTGGATGCACAACTTCAGGTGTGCAAATATAAAGGCTACTTTTGAAAATCTGGCCAAGGTTATGCATCCGTTAAGAAAATAGTTGAAGAGGAATTTACTGTTGCAGCAGTGGTATCGTATTTCAGTTCTAAACTAAGGACAGGAGGTGGGTGGACAGCAGGAAGTAAGCTCATGGTCAGCAGCCTGGGATGGCAATGACAAACTACAGCTTGCCAAAAGGGGGAAAAAGAAACTTCTACCGTTTCTTTTAGTCTCTTTTTTCCCTTGGCCTAAATTGCCAAGGTCACCCACCTAACCTTTTAAAGAGTGGGGTTTAACAAAATTGTGAGAGGTGAAATGCTGACTCATTTCTAGCTGGTTTTAGACTTAAGCAACCTTAATTTACTTATTTTTCCGCTACATTTTTCTCTTCCTACCTGTGGATTTCCTAGAGCAGTTGGCCCCCTAACCTCACTCTTTCAGCTACAACTGTATAATTTAAAAAATCCAGGCAAGATGAACAAAGAGTGCTTAAACTTCTTGAAGAAATTCAAAGAGGACAAAAGCTCCTGTGGGATTTTCACCTACTTCTGTACATATTTTCAGTTCCATAATTAGAGCTCTTGTCATTTCATTTGAATCTCTGTCCCATCTCTCTGCCGCTCACCTGACCCCATTTCCATATGCAGTTACACTGTTTCCATTACAGTCCTCAAAAGAGAAGAGTGTTCTTGACCTTCAGTCAAATGACTGAAATCTGGAAGAGCAACACTAAATTTGTAATCCAAGGGAGAGAGCCTTTGTTTCAGATTAAGGGTTTCCAAATAGATCTAACTCCAGCTGGACCCATGAGGCCTGTTTGGTAGTAGCTACTGAAGAGCCCAGTGGGACTTAATATTACCTCCAAGAACTTCAGTGATACACACTCACCAAAGGTCTGATTCTGACAGGTGTTGAGCATCCTCATCTCTGGAGCCAACGTTGGCCAAAGCTAGAAAAAAATGGGCCCTGAAAGACTATTTTGTGGCACCTCTAAATGTACAAATGCTAGAAGGATCTATTCCATAGACAGGCTGCTGATAGCGTAAGGTGCACCAGCACCAGGGTAAGAGAGGAAGCTTTACATCAGAGCGCCATGCAGGAAGGCTGCACAGTAGTTTTGAATTTTAAATGAGAATCAGAATTTATTAGCAGTGAAAATCTGCTTGTCTGGGAAATGGAACATGCGGCGAGTCAGATACAATGTGGTGAAACCCACCTAAGCAAATGCCAAATCTAAGAATAGATTAGCTGTGTGTCAACCCTGTTGCCTTTTTATCACATATATGTTTATTTAGTAATGACAGAAGAGCTGTTACATAAAAGAGAACCACCTGCTGCCAAACAGTAACCTTTACTGCACAGCAGAATAAATGTCTAAGCTAATTTATGAGAATGCTGTATTTAAGGTTACACTGTACATGCCACATTTTGAAACAATAGATTGTTCAGTGCTGCAATATGATCCCAAGAAGCGTCTACCACATTTTGATTGTAAGCGCACAGCAATTTGGAGCATTCACTGATAAAGAATGTCAAACAAGTCAAATGGAACTTTCACTAGACGAGGATCTGGCAGTATATTTGGCATTGGGGAGGTGTTTGGTGTATCTGATTTCCCCTCTTTTAGTCATCTCCATTTGCAAACACTTAGCTTTATGGCTTGTTATTGTCATTTGTATTACTCGGTGTGACAGTGTACCCCATAAGGCTTTATGGGGAGGGGGTGCTTATA